TGTTTGGCGTACATGTGTGTGCACATGTGTGCGTGTTATGTGTGCGTGAGTGTGTGTGTGTGTGTTTGTGTGTATGTGTGAGTGTGTGTGTGCGTGTGTGTGTCGCGTACGTGAATATTGTTCGTATATGCATTTATGTAAAGCGCCTAGAGCTGCTGTGTTTACACGGGAGTGTGCGCTATAGAAACGATCTTCATTATTATTATTGTTGTAATCACTTCGAAAGGACGACGACAACTCACAACAGTCACTAAGAATAATGGACGAAAACAACTGGACTCTGACTTATTGGGTTAAATCCCTTAAACATGTTTGACAGTGACAACACCACAGCCCCCATTGACACAATTTAGATAATTTGATTTTATAGCAGGCTGTCAAAACCAACCTGCACGGAAATATTTCAACATTCCAGAAGAAAAAAATAGAGATAATCGAAAGAAAAACAAAACAAAAAATAAACAAAACAATCTCCACACGGGTATCGAATTCGAGTCTTCGTTCGTTCAACGACAAAGCGACTAACTATTACACTGCAGAAAATAGAATTCAAAGAGTATGCCTAGTGCGTAAAAGTTGTTTCAACCATTAAAAAAACAAAAAGAAAAAAGAAACGGGAAAAAGCACTCTAGGCTTTGTTCTCTGGACTCCTGCAGTGCACTTTAGTCTTTCTTGCTTCAGACAATGTCAGTCAGCTTTTTTCCTAACACTTCCTGATCGAAGATTTCATCTCACGGGGCAAGAATCTACGACATATTTCTAAACGATTTTCAATATAAGTTTGTAAGGTTAAGCCTTTCGTTCACCCAGAATAATTGATTTCCTCGTCGGGAGATTTTTTTCTTGTTGAAAGTATCAAAATACTATGTGAAACACCTTGGTGAAATCAGGCGTTCGTCAAAAAAACAAAATCGGAGAAAAAGGCATTTTGGCAATTGCTATAGTTATTCTTCTTTTGCTCAACCCCTTTTATGTCCATATAAAAACATATTTCCATGTGAATTTGAGTGTAAAACGTTGATTAAAGACACGGAATTTGTCTTTTTTAAATTTTCAAGGTCTCTTTAGTTTCTAGAGTTACCAAACTATGGCAGCCTTCAATGGCAAATATCTTGACTTATATTCAAGACAGACGGATATTTTTTTTTATTGAAAGTAAGGCAAATGAACAACCTTTAAGATGATACCAATAACAAAACATGACCAAAAATTGACGAGGCGCCTGATTCCACCACGTCGTGACACATTATGTTCTTGTGGTCATCGAGCCTCAGCTCACGCTGGTGGTGACGTCACTGAGGAAGAGTTCGTGACCCTTATGTGGCCTCGTGCTGATGCAGAAAGGTACTCGAGACAAAGAACAGAAGGACGATAGAGGGATAGAAGGGGATAGGGATCATCTTTAAAAAATAAAACCCTTAAAACTTCGTTAAAGCACCTTGGATGTTCATAAGTGCATTTCCAAGGTTAGTTAGTGCAGTAGTCTCAAATTTCGGTGTGCAGTTACATATCTTATTTTCATATCAATCA